TATATATATGTATTTATATCACGTACTCGCGAACTCGCTTGATAATAATTGTGACGTATTTTACAAGTATGTATTATACACATTATATATCTCCATAAGATCGGAACGTCTCGTGTCGTATACCTAAAATCGCGCGTAGTTTTCTTTCTTTCCATACTTTATATTATATACAAATTGTAAAATGTCTTCTTAATGAAAAAAGTCGTGTCGATTTGTGTATATCTCTTTTTTTTTTTTTGGTGTGTATTTGTATTTCTGTAATATTTTTCTCTCTCTCCCATGAGAACGTATATATAACATTCGTATTTTTTTTCTTTCATGTATTCTTACATTTTTACACACATACTATATTCCCAGGCATACTCGCTCGCACTCGTTCGCGATTTCGATCACTTACATTCGTACTCCTTTGCATTCGCTCCCTTTTGTCTTTTCTATGTGAATACTTTTCGTGTCTTCGAGTATCTCTCGATCGCAAGATACATTATTCCCAGTTTTTTGTACATGCACGTCTTTTCAAGATCAGTTCACTGTGTAATTGCACCTACAATGTGATTCCACATTTCTCATTCTATTTATAAAAAATAAATATGAGAATAAATATTAGAATATCAGAAAGCGGGCACAAGCATTATACTATTCGGTATTCGAAGTCGTATCTGATATTCGAAAAATGCAGGCATAATATAAGTGTGTGTGTACACACACACACACACACGCGCGCGCGCGCGCGCACACACACACACACACATGTATATATACACTTGAGATTCACGGAATGTGATTGAATTTTTTATTTGAATTTTTTTATTTAAGAAAAGATTAATTTCGATTTTATTAGTAAAGAAAATTGTAAATGTAAAAAGAAATATGAAGGCCTGTATTTATTTTTATATCTCTGACAAAAATAAAAATCTGTAGCTGAATGTAGCTGAATGTAAAAGAAGAGTTCTCTTATGTTCTTAATTTACATTTCGATTTTTATTTTCGCCAAGATATTGTTCAAGCAAATATCCTTACACACTTGTAATATTTTTTCTCAAAAAAAATATAAATAATTTTGATTACAAAAGATCAAAGATAACTTATCGCTAGCTATAGATTAAAAATAATCTACATTGCTATAGACTTATCACACGTACAGAATCTCATCGTATGTCATACTCTTAATGATACCAACGAATGACACAGCCATTTATCTAGAATGTCAGAACGGAAAGCTCATCTTGACATTTCGAGCGCCAAAATTCTCGCTTCCTCATTCGTCGAATTCTCATTCCTCACTTAACACACAGATGCATCAGAAATTCATTCATCGTACATCGAGTATCCTAATATTTTCGGTTACGTGAACATGAATTAAACTCGGATGATGACGAAATGGAATTATACGAATTGCGCGGGTTCGCGAAACGACAAAACATTTTCGTTGAGGAGAAGCATCCGGCGCCATCGTTACTCCGGTGTCACGATCCTAATTAAACAGTTCCATCGATCCAATTTCTAACCGATTCCAATCTCTTGACTATCTATATGCGAAATCTTACTCTCACTCGACGAGAGTAGAACGCGAAAAAGGGAGAGCGAACAAGAGAGAGAGAGAGAAAGAGAGAGAAAGAGAGAGAGAGAGAGAGAGAGAGAGAGAGAGAGAGAGAGAGAGAGAGAGAGAGAGAGAGAGAGAGAGAGAGAGAAAGGAGAGAAAGGAGAGAGAGAGAGAGAGAGAGAGAGAGAGAGAGAGAGAGAGAGAGAGAGAGAACGCAAGAAAAAGAGAATTCGTGGCGGTGATAATAGCGTCTCGACGACGATTGAAATTCGTTGAAGTCGCCAGCTGCCAGAGGCACACGTTTCCCTCAGACGGACACCCGCCGTGACTGCTCGTAATAGTGATGCTGCTGCTCGTCGAGGAGTATCACACTCCTCGCGGCAGAACAACGACGTCAGATACTGGCACGGTGCTGATACAGTGGCGGTAACGGCAGCATCGAAGAATGCTGTGACGTTCGCGGGTCGCCCCGCACGCTCAACGTCGACAGCTGTTGCATTGGCAGCAAGTGTGAGATCTTGCCTGGCGAGCGGCGCACCGTAAAACGTGGTCTCCGCCGCTTCCTCTGGAAACCGCTGCAGCGGCAACTACACACCGACGCTTCGTCGTCCAACGACATTGTGTTCCCGTGATTGCCAATTTGGCCTGACAGTATCGAGCCATTTGCCGTTATTACATCGCCCTCGAGACGCACCGCGCCCTGGGCTGCCTAAAGAAGGAGCATGAAAAATAATCGATTAATTCTCACGAATGAATATTCATTGCAATAGAAATCCACTTGATAATGCTATTTTAATTTGTGAATATCATTTATGCCACTTGTTAAGCTCACAATTAAGCGAAATTTTATATTACAAACCGTAAAAATTTTATGAAGAAAGAAATAACAATTAGACAGTTGATACTAAATATTCAGCAAAATGATGGATGGATGAATCTTAGAGATAAGAGTGAGTTGTACCTGTAACGCTTCTGCTTCGTCTCGTCTTTCATCCTCCGTATTCATAGTCACGAATCTCAAAACCAGTAAATTAAGCGAGGCCGCCACGATCGCCAAGCCGAAGAGAATAAATATTAGGGCAAACATCACATATTCAGGCTTCTTGTTGAGCGCATTATCCTTCTGTAGCGCGACCATGTCGCCGAAACCGATTGTCGTCAAAGTAATGAAGCAATAGTAAATGGAATCGAAATAGGACCACCCCTCGTATCTGGAGAACGCAGCGGCGCCGCCGGCGATAGTCAGGCACGACAACGTCGTTACCACGCAGATGAGATTTATCTCCGAGGCCTGCAAATTGTTAATTTATGAGTCTAAATTCTATTACATACGTATTACATATATTGTATCGTAATAAACGCTTAAGGGACAATTCGAATCATTTAATCTTTGGTATTCGAGCGAAGAAAATACTCGAGGAGAAACTATACTAAATTACATTATTCAAGCGAAAAAGAGAACATAGGTTCTAATACGGAAAAAAATGTAAAGTAATATGCACTAGAATTCCAATAAATTTTATGGAATTGGCAGACCCATGTAGGTGCCCACCTGTAACCATGTAAAATTTGTTTTACTTTACTTTTCTGATAAATGAGCGATCATTGTAGTTATATCGTTGTAGTTATATCGTAAGATACTTTTTACATTTCATAAAGTAAATCTATAAATTACCATATCTATAAATTACCATATATACATCTCAATAGAATTTATTTACTTTATCGACGAGTATTTTTTTATTTTAGAGTTGATAAACTTTACAGTCTTGAGAATAGTATGATTTATTTTACTGTAAAATAATAATCACTTGAATGAATCTATTGTAATTGTAATGTATTTTTTACACTTCCAGTATTTTTTTTTCTTATTCAGTATTTTTACTTTTAGACGAAAAGTTTGTCATAAGTTGAGCCAAAATAATTATTAAAACAATATTTTTACTTGTGAAGTAAAAATTTTTCTCTGTATAATTTTGATTAGAAACGATTTAAAAAAGCTAATTTGAATTGAAGTCATGTTAATTATTATAGATATCAAATAACTCGAAATATTATAATTATGAGTTTACATTGATTTAGCATTTGTTTCTCATATTAAACAAAACAAATTTCTATTAATTCTAATAACATCTGTAATTTTTTAAAATACATATTATCTGTATATTCAATGTATACTGGAAGATTACATATTTTTTGTACTTTGAAGAAGACACAATATTGATGTCGAAACGTCTATAATTATATTATATTTTTGAATATATTAATCATTGTTGTCATATTAAACATCTTGTGTAGGTTCACATTGGCAAGTTTCCTTAAGTTTTTATTGTTAATATTATCTACATATATTTTAATGTAATCTACAATTTATTCTGTACAAAATTCTGCCTAAAATTAATTAAACAAATTACTATATACAATTCAAACGCTTGCACTTAGATTATTACAATTCCACTATTTGGAACAGAAACATAATTTCATCCATATTTAATTAACTTTAATAATCTGTAGTGCAAAAATTTTGGCGATTTTAGCTCAAAAAGTGCACTATTTGTCTCGATAGAACGTGCCTGAATTCTGTTTGAATTATATATGGAACGTTCTAATGACAAAATATATGATTCAAATAAGCTTATTGTTACCTGGACGTTTCTACAGTTTAGAAGCGTCTTTACACTCCGTATCACGACAGATGAGAACTTATTCACGCGTTCTCCTATACTCTGAAACATTACAAGTCCTAATGGGATACCAATGATCGCGTAGCACATTGTGAACAATTTGCCGTATATGGTAGTCGGCGTTGAGTGTCCGTAACCTGAAATAAAAATGAAATGCAGAATAAATTTTGACAGTTTTCCAGCTTTCGCACGCGATCGAAGAGAAAACAACACCTATGAATTTAATCGCGACGTTTCGTGTGAAATCGCAAAACATTGTGCACAATGTAAATCTGTGTTTTTTCTGTTACGATAAAAATGGTTAAATCAATTAAAACGCACTGACTAGCGAAAATATCTCCGATGATCCATTCGTGCGTTGCTCAATCACTTTCAGTTTCAAAATTACGATCGTTTATCGGAAAGTTCGTAAAATCAAAAAATTATCTTTTACGATAAATGAAAAAATTGATATTATATATTACCTAAAATGATATATAAAAATTGTAAAAAGCTTTTGTTTTTTCTAATTTAAAAAAAACAGTAGTGGTTTAACACTTATAAAGGTTGAAAAAAATCCGAATTGCAAATCAAATTTACTGTTTCCAACCTGTCGCATTTGGGTACCCGTCAAACAATTTGGGTTATCGAACAGGTTTCCAATGCAAATGGATAGTAACGCAGCGGTAGTTACGCGTAATAAACTCGGTTTGAACATCCGATGGTATTCAGAGCAATGGTAACATTGCAACATGTACCTATCGTGGTGAGGACCGTTGTAGCGTAATAAAACGCGCCAGCGAACTTCCACTGTTGGCCAGCTTTATGAGGTTCTGTCTTCAGCACCACTGTTTCCATGATCTTGAAGTCGTCCTCGCTTATATTGTATTTTCGTATGACCATTTTCTCAATGGCTGTAAACAGAATGAGAGCGATGATCAAATTGATATGTATCTCGCGATTCGAAGGCACCAATAGCAAATATGAATAACACCTGATAATGGTGCACATCTATTATTTATTATTATTATTATTTATGATGATTTTACCGATGAGAGAGAAAAAGAGAGAAAGAGATGTTGCTATTTATTAAGTTCCTTAAAAAAAACATCTTTTCGAGGATGGAAATTTTAAACGCATTAATTATAAGACATGTTCCAAAAGAAACTATCTTTGATAAAAGAATGATGAGTAATTACAAAAAAAGAATTAAAAGGAAATAGAGAGAGAGATAGAGATAGAGAGAGAGAGAGAGAGAGAGAGAGAGAGAGAGAGAGAGAGAGAAACGAATGAATATATCACAGAGTTAAATAAAATGACTAATGACCTTTGAACTTTTCAGAGTGTGCTTTCAGAGACTCTGCTGGAACAGATGCTTCGTACATTGGGATGATGATAACGCGATTCTTTTAATGAAAATTACGTGTCAGATACGCGCAAAACTGTTCCTCCCATGAATAAAAGCCGAGACTTTTCTTTGTAAAAAAAAAAGAAGCACGGCAACGCACAAATCGCTATTTCATTCTACTACTACTGGGATTTATAAGGCTCGCGAGAGATGGAATTTATCAAGCGTTTTCGAGCTTGCAGCGAGACAATGGCCACGACGTTGTAAGATCGTTCCCCTTTGACGATAGTGCAACGACATTCTTCTATTGGAAGTGCCTCTCTGCATAACGTATATTCCGCACGTATGGCGCACAAATATCGCCGTCGCCGCATACACGATTATACACTAATGCACTCGTACATAGAGCTCGTTGCTCGCTATATAACTAAGTAATCTACGCGAATGGCAATAAAGGGGCTTAAGGAAACTCCAGACAACAAATGCCTAGAAGCGTTGTAGAAACGTCTAAGAGGCACTTCAATCCCTCCGATGATCTTTTCGAGTTTTCAGAGGAGTCTCTTGGACTTTTGTTTACTTAAGATTCTATTCATTCAATGAAGTTCTTGAAGTCAGATTATGAGAAGAGAAAGAAGCTATTGCATTTATATCATTTGCATAGATAAAAAATAGAAATTATATGAAATAATTTATATAAAATTGGAATCCTATATAAAAAAATATATATATATATTTTTTTTTTCTCGTTGAAAAAATCAGAGTTTTAAATTATCTGTATTACCATATATCATGTCTTTTTATGTCATGTCTGTATTATAGAATAAACTTTACGAGGCATATCATTATTTATAACTTGAGTCACTTATTAAGAAAGTCTAGTCATTTTAAAATGAATATGTCACTTATCTAACTTGAAATTTGCAGGGCACGAGCGACTCAATTTACCATCTAACTTACCATCTAACGCTTCTTTGCGTAATTTCTCCGTCTCGGACTCGAGCACGTCGAAGATTGCAGCACCGACGAGGAGATAGGTAAGCGTGAAGACGATTAATGATAAAGTCCGGACGTTTTGCTTCTTCATTCTCTAGTGAGCCACATGCTCACTAGCAGGGCCCCGGCCCTAATTACTTGCATCGCTCAGTGAGATACAATTTGGGTTGCTGGGCCCATGATGACCCCCTTCTTTCTTCTCCTTCCAAAGTGATACTTGACGGGGGCCCCTCTCTTCCTTACCAAACGCTACAGACTTGGCACACGATCCCTTGTTTTCAGGATATCTGCTTCCTTGCCGTAGCAATCATGCAGTCGTTTTCGTTCATCTGAAACTTTCGTGTCTACTTGTCCTATCAAAGC